ATTCTGCTGGATTTTAATCTTTATTAAGAATTATTTACTATATACCTGATAAAAGAATCAATAGATAGCTTGTTGTAATTTTTTTCTTTTTGGGAGAATACGGTCCGAGACTATTCGGATTGTAACTTTCCGGATTTGTACAGTCCGTGAAAATACGCTACGAATATTTTGAAATTCCGGAAATATATGGTCCGCAACAATACGGTTTGTGCGTTTATTTTTCCGGATTTCTACAGTCCGAGACCATACGGTTTACGTATATATTTTTTCTGAATTAATACAGTCTGTGAGATTACTTTCCGGGATTTTATGGTCTCTCTCTCACAGACACAAAAAAAATAAAAAATACACATCACAGTAAAACCATAATGAATAATGTATCATAGTTATATCCTTTTACACCAACAAATTTCCCTATTTTGACCAAGGCCTAATCTTCTACATGATATTAAAAATGAAATGGCTGAATTTCAGTATTAGTAATATTGATTTTTCATAAAATGTCCCTCAAAATTGATATACTATAATGTATATTTTGACAAAATATGACTTGTACTATTTTTTTTTACCAACGCCGTCCAAATTTTAATATTTATCTACTTATAATTGCATGTTATTTTTAAATTCTTAGTGGAATATCACAATTACAGAAAATATAATACATTTAGGTATAAACAAATACATATTTTACCAAGTACTTCAATCGTTTTAAACCAATGGATTAGGTACCTGTTCGGCAATTATCAATCTATTATATACGTATACTTAAATAAAAATTACACTCCAAAGAACATAATATCTTATCTTTGTTTCTTAACAACAGGATAACATTAGAAGTCAATCGTAAATTATTTTTTTTTTTAAATTATTTATTTTAACAGTATTTTTAATTTGTCCACTACTTCTTATAACTTGAAGTAGTATACTTCCACTTTAATTTTCAAATAGGAGCCTTACCCCTTTTAGTCCCAGGTTTGAATGAAGAATATTTAAGATAAAAATGTTGAATATTATCGTTTGAGTTAGGTATACTTTTTAAATATAAACTGTTATATATCTTAACAAATTTTAAAAATTCAAAATTTAGACAGAGAGAGTTGAGAAGGGTAATAATCAAATTATACAAAAACATAAACTCTATAAGCCGGTTAGCCTATATTTTCAAAAAAAAGAGTACAATTTTATGTACTTAATAATATTGTTCAGGACATAGGACAATGTATCAAAAAAGAGTACTATCCTATGAAAAATAGTGCATCTGGTCACCGTACTATACCCATATGGCTATATGTTGCATGCAATATCGATGCGTATTCGTTCAAATTTAAAAATTAAAAGTACCCACTTGTAACAAGTGTACTAATAATATTTGACTATGTTTATAATGGATTTCGGCAGATTAGAATAAATAATCTTGCCATAAATCGATAACACGAAACATGAGTATACACTTTATTATATTAGGTACCAATCAACTTTATAACTCATAAATGTTATATAATATTAATATATCGTCGAACAAATTGTATAACTTTTATATAATACTAGCTGTTCCGTGCCCGTGCCAATTTTTATTATTATTATTTTACGCATATTTATTTTTGGTTTTGGCCGTGTCAGAAAAAGAAAATTGTATAATTTTTTCGTAATTTTTGTTTGTTACATCCACTCCATTGAAAATTTCTGGGCACGCCACTGGTCTAAATAATAATTAACACATTTTGTAATTAGGTATAATATTTATGTTAAATAAGTATATATTATCAATACATTTTAATTAATACTAATTTGAATGAATGTTAGTTGGATGCAAAATAAAATTCTAAAAATTGAACCTCATTGATCACATTGATTTTGTATATTTTATATACGTATTTATTTTGTGTTTTTCTTTTGTTAAGGTATTTATATGAATACTTTTCAACACTGAAAAAAAACATTATTATATCTTAATTTTTTAAATTTTTATTGAAAAAGTAATTTTTTGGAAAATTTTAAAACTACAACATAAGCATACCACGTATGCAGCTAATGAGAATACTAAATATAATACATTTCTTGTAATAATTGAACACACATAGTAGGTATTAATTATTTATAAGCATAATGTTTATTTTTCAATAAGTTTTCAATTATAGAATTACACAAAAGAAAATAAATTAATATTTAGTAATAAATTTTAAATAATAATTAACTATTTGAATTTAATTTTTCTTTTAACTTTTTTTCATGTTCCAGCCTTTATTTTTTATATTGTAGCTCTAAATTTTCATTTTTAATTAAATTTAGTACATGTTTTTCCTGTGACACCTGAGGCATCTAAAAAAAATAAACCCCTTTTTGGGGAATTATTATTCTCTACAAATGTATTATAAATATAGTTTTGATTAAATGTAAGTTGATTTTCAATTATTGACACAACTTCATTTAGGTTTTTTTCATAATTATCTATAGAACTATATAAAAATGTCAGTTGGACTTATAAGAGGACTTTGTATTTAATAATGTTTGAGGTCATTTCCAATTAAAGCTATCAATTTGTCTTCTATTAGAATTGAAGTTTTGTTGTAAATTAAATCATGAAATTCAGCATCTGGATCTACCGATATTACTTTATATAAAACATCATCATCGAAAATAATTGTATGATTCATAATTTTAATGGGTCAGTTAGTTGATAATATATTTATTATTTACATAATCTTTTTTACATGACATATTAGATAATGATGCTTCTTGTAATAAGTATCCAGACAATTGATCGAAAGCAAAAGACGTCCTAAGATAATGACGCGTACAGCCATTGTTATAGATACTTTAATGTATACATGTAAGCAACGATAAATCATTACTTACGAAAAAACGATTCTGAGTGGAATTTAATTGATAGTGATACTTTGTTAACAATATATATGTCATTTTATAGTAAAATAATTAAATAGGCTTTATATATTTTCTTTAATATTATTTGTTTAATTTTGTACCAATTTTCCCAATTTCCTTACGTTTTTCCTTGTTTTCCCATATTTTATCCCAGTTTTTCACATTTGCTAGGAAAACTTCCGAGAAAATTGAAAAATGACTTCTTTAAAGTACCTCTCTAGTAAAATTTAATTTTAGAAACACAGCTATCAATAAAAGTTAGAGCAAAATTTCTGGTAGAAAAGTTGTTAATAGAAAAATGAAGGAGGTAATATTTTTAACTAATACCTACATTTCTTACATTTTCTCGTTTTTTTTCGGTTTTTCAAATTTGTTGAGGAATTTCCTAAGAGAATCGCGAAAATAACCTCTTTAAAGTACCTTTCTAGTAAAATTTCCTTTTAGAAACATTGCTGTCATTGAAAATTGGAGCGAAATTGCTGATAGAAAAGTTGTGCACAAGAAAAAAAAAGTAATATATTTTGTACATTTTCCAGTTTTTTTCGGTTTTTTAAATTTGATGAGAAAACTCTTGGGTAAATCAAAAAATAACCTCCTTAAAGTACCTCCTCACACCGATTTCCTTTTAGAAAAAGTGCTACACGTGCTACATGTAGAAATCCAAGCAAGTCTTCTGGTAGAAAATTTGTTTACAGATAAAGAAAAAAAAATATCTTTGTAAAACCAAAAACTTCTTCGCTCCATTTAGAATCTAAAATGAGCGAATACAAATGACCAAAAACATATAGAGCAAAAAATCCATCATTTTAAGTTTTGTACAAACATTTAATGATTTTTTTTCAGCTTTCACTTAAGGTTTTACAAAGATTTATTTTATTTTATTATATTATTTTTTATCCGTGCCCAACTTTTATACCAGAAAACTTCCTCGGGTTTCTACATGTAGCACGTTTTCCAAAAGGAAATCGGCGTGGGGAGGTACTCTAGGAGGTTATTTTTCGATTTTTTCAAGAGTTTTCTTATTAAATGTGAAAACCGATAAAAAGGGAAAATTTACGAAGTATGTTAAAAATATAATTTACGATTTTTTTTTCTGTGGACAACTTTTCTGCCAGCAAGTTTGCTCCAACTTTTAATGATACCAATGTTTCTAAAAAGAAATTTCCCTAGCGAGATACTTTAGAGAAGTTATTTTTTGATTTTTCCAACAGTTTTCCCAGCTAATGTAAAAACCGTAATAAAACATGAGAAAACCAGGAAAAATTTAAGAAAATTAGGAAAATCGGTACAACATTAAACAAATTTTATTAAAGAAAATATATAAAGCCTAAAGCCTATTTAATTATTTTTTTTAATATAAAATTACATATATATTGTTGTCTTCAAAATTTGAATTTCTTGACGATGACGAATACTGCTAACAAAATAATTGAAAAAATAAATATGCTGTCATACGTCATGCATCTGTGTTTTTAAATAATAATAAATCTTAAAATTGTACGTTTTCCTACGTTTTTTCTCACTTATGTGTTTTCAATTAAAAAATGGTGTCGAACTACAAAAAAATGTTGTTATACGTAAAAATCGAAGCAAGTTTACTAGGAAAAAACGTGTCCATAGACTAGGAAAAAATTTTTTAAAAAACACCTTCGTAAAACCAATAGCTCCCTCGCTACGTTCGGAATCCAATATGTGTTTATTAATATGAACAGTAAACCATAGAAATTAATAAACAATAACTCTCGATACTTTGTTAAAATATTTCTTGTCAATTTTCATCATAATATTCATTAATATTATTTTTTTAAGACGAAAAGTATCCCCACTCGGAAATAATATTTTTATATTAGACAAGTAATACAATATCATATTCTAAACTCTGAAAAGAGTCTTAATATCCAGTTATACAAATCGTTTAAATGTGTTACCTTCTGTAAGCTGAATAATAATATCCGTTTAATCTTAAAAATTCGCTCTATATTTATAAGCATCAATTGTAAACAAATTTATTTATTGTTCAATATATTTTGGACCGATTTGATCGTGGTTTTTATTTAAAGAACACCAAACAAACGTGAACATCTAGAAGAAAATAGAAGAAAAAAAAATCTATTAAAATGTCAAAAAAAGGTGTTTTCAGACAAATATATGTCACGGTAGTTGGTAAGATATAAAAATACTACACAAAAGAATTATGATTAATATTTTTTATTGCAGTACCTAGTAAATAATATATTAATTAATTTAAATTTTTACAGCTACGTTAACAATATTCATAAGTGGCATGTGGTTAGGATGGCCTAGTTCAGTCGTCGAGAAGGCTATGAAACACGAGATAGATATAAATGTAACCATGGACGAACTGTCATGGATCGTGGCCATGATGGATTTGGGTAATATGATCAGTCCTCTGTTCGCTGGATATTTAATGGACAAGTTGGGTAGGAAACTCAGCACCTTCATCCTCGGGCCCCTGTTCATAATCAGCTGGTTACTGACGTTGTATGTGCCCACCACTTGGGCTTTGNAATAGCCGGAGTCAAGATCCGCGGGGCGCTGAGTAGTACGTTTTGCATTCAACTCCACTTCGGATTTCTGTTGGAAGCGGTGGTCGGGCCATTGGTCAAGTACCGGACTCTGAACACAATGTCCGCTGTCTTCCCCGTGGTGTTTACCGTGTTGGCTTTCTGGATTCCCGAATCTCCGTATTATCTGTTGAAGAAAAACCGACGAGTCGAAGCGGCCCGGTGTCTGCAATGGTACAGGTGCGAACAGGACGATGTCAAGTTAACAGACGAGCTACGGCAGATGGAAGTGAACGTTGAGAGAGAAATGGAAAACCAGTCAACGTTCCGCGAAGTGTTCACCAGTCCCAAGGATCGGAAAGCACTTGGGATCGTGGTGGCTGCGTGCATCACTCAGCGTGCTGGCGGCATCAGTTGCATACTCGCGTTTTTTTCCCTGATACTTCCCGAGCCTGCTCCAGTCTTTCCACGATTCCAGTACATGATCGTTTTTGCCACGACTATAGTGGTGATAACTATTACGTGCGCGACTTTGGTGGATAAGGTCGGCCGGAAACCACTGTTAATTATTTCCGAGGTTGGTTTGGGCATTATCAGCGCTGGGTTCACCGTTTACTTCTACATGGGCACGTCTTTACGGTTCGTGATTTTCCCATACGCGTTGTTTTTATTGTTCTCCGTAATGTACTCCGTCGGCGTGGGGTTTATACCAGTCGTCTATCTAGGTGAAATGTTTTCGGTCAACATCCGTTCGCATTGTTCGTCTATCGCTTCTATTGCGTTGGCCTCCAGCTCTTTCGCTACTAATAAAATTTTCCTGTTCGTCTCCCGGACATACGGCAACCACGCTATGTTTTTCCTTTTTACCGTTGTCAATTTCGCGGGTGCCTTGTACTCATATAAATACGCTATCGAGACAAAGGGCAAAACTCTCCTGGAAATCCAACAGATCCTCGAGGAAAAAGTTAAAAAAGCACCACTAAACACGAGATAATCCAAGTACCTATCAAGAATTTATCAGGAAGGATACCCCTACAATAATGTTCAAAATAAATAAATTAAAAAAGTTTAATACTTGTCATTAATCTTAATTAATATAATAAAATATTACTGATGTATTCTACTATTATCATTTTTTTACGTATTTTATGTTGTATATTTGTCTTATAAAAAGTACCTATTATTTTGAAATTATTTACAATGGATTTCGGTAGATTAGAAATAATAATTTTATAGCATCGTATTTATATTTTCATGTAAGTACATAATATTAATATAGGTACTTGCGTAGTTAACAATAATTTAATTGTATACACAATTATATTGTAGGCGTTTATAACAAGAATATAAGTAATCCAAATATAATAAAACATTTTTTCTCGGTGTTACGTTTATTAATTCAATATGTCAATTGAGTATTTAACGCAATCTTTTTGCCTTATCTCTGTATGAATACTATCCGAGACGACGTTTTGATTAAAAATTATTTTCGCTCACGTACTTTTTTTCTTATTCTCACTATACGGCGTACGTTATGCCATCGCGAAAGACTTGTTAATTTTTAATGTCTCACACGGATAAAATCTAAAACTATTTTGGAATGGTGATTCTCCGATACCAGAATCTAACCCTACAGAATTATCTATGTTTAAAACGTTCTTATAAACAAATTTCCATCCGAATCAACAGTTGTTTCACTGACGGACGACGACATTGTAAACAATATCGGCCGACTTTTGTCGACAAAGGTCAGTTCCAGTTGTATCAAAGTTGAGAAATAATATTCGTTTGAACGGGAACACGCGATCAGTAACGAGCATACCTGCAGTTGTAGCTTTGAGTGGAAACAGTCTGAAAACGTCGCATATCCACGCCGAGTGAACATACAAAATTCAACCAATTTATTATTATAATTAACGTTAGTAAATTCATTATTATTTACTTGGTATGATATCGAATGTCGCGGTCTTGAACAATACCTTATATACGGATAGACTTTTACTGTCGTGTATAAAATAATAACGCCGAGTAGTATACGTCTACCTCATCATCTACCTTATATACTTAAGAAAAAATATAATTTATACAAGGTGATCAATTTATGTAGTATTCAGAATAGTGGAGCACTATTTAAAAGTTGCGCGTCATTCCGGCACACAAATGATGCTCTACTACTTTTCCCCGACAAAAACTTAAAAGTGGAATAACTCATCAACGGATTGACGGAAATCAAAAATGTCAACAAAAAGCAAAAGATTACTATTTTAAAATTATAAGTAGGTAGTGGTTTCACCTCCAAAAATAAGTATGATAAAAAATAACATAAATGTCAAGTTATAGAGCTAATTATTTCTTAAATATTATATAAAATAAATTCTAAAAAAAGTTAAAATGTACTGAGATAATGAAAGTACCCACTTAAATAGATCACCTTGTATATGTCTATTAAAAACTTAAAAATGAAAACCCGTCTATGGAAAAAATTAAAACTAGTTCCTATCTTTTTTTTTTTTAAATAACATAAATACAACATTGAGACGTAAGCGGATATCATTTCAATCATACAATAATCATATTTATATCATTATTATAGGTACTTCATATTATAAAAACTAATTTAACAAAAAGAGGACGTTTTAGAATCTAATTGCAAATATTAATTTAATAGATATATTACGTATGATTTGTTTTTTTTTATCTGTTAACAACTTTTCTACAAGAAGTCTTGATCAATCAAAAAATAATGAAAAATCTTTTTTGTAGCTATTTGGTGTAGTTTGTTTCTACAATTTTTTACCAATAGTTTTCGTAATGATTGGAAAAAACGAACAAATTTACGTTGGTAAAAATTTCAAAATTGTAGATTTGTTCAATTTTATTTTTCTATCAAAAATCTTGCTCCGAATTTCAAAAAACATCTATTTTAAAAGAAAATTTTGTCTAGTAGATGCTTAAGAAGATCTTTTTTTGCTTTTTTTAAATTTTATTAATATTTGATAAAAACTGGAGAACAACTAGGGAAAACCGGACATTTTTCGCATGTAGGTGAGAAGTTGGAAAGGTAGAGGGGAAATTGAATGTATACGTAATATTTGAAATTTGAAAATAATACATTTTGTACATTTTTCCTTTTTTCCTATGTTTTTTCCCATTTATAATGAAAAAAAAAAAATAAATAAACACCACTGTAAAACCAATAAATTCCTTACTCCGCTCAGAATCTAAAAAAGAAAAACTAACAGCATTAACGGTTTTTTTTTTTAATTTGTTTGTTTTATTTTATTTTATACTCATATACGGGATTAAATTTAAGTAAATGAGTTTAATTAAATACAATATAAGTTAAAATTGGTGGAGAACAATAAAATTAGTAACAATTATATTTATAAATTATAAGTTATCACAGTAAACTATAAACAATGAAAAACTATAACTGTGTATAGGAGGAAATAGTAATTAAGAGTACAAATCTAAGAAGGTAGGGTCGGTATAGGCATACATCCTTAAGCATCTAAGTGGTTTGCTTAGTTTTAATTCAACTAAAAATAATCGTAGAGACCTGAAATGTCTTCGAACTATTTATAGATATTTTAAAATTTTGAATTGAGATATTTCACGTTAAGCGACACAAAATGATTCGAAAAAGTTGCAGTGAAAGTTAAAGTGGTGATGTAAAGGGAATAATTTGAGCGGTTGTATGTTAGAGCACCGGTGGTAGCGGCTGCTACGTGTGTAAGTGTGGATTGTGGGGTAGGTATACAAGGTGTTTCTTTTATCGTAAAACGGTAGAACACTCTTTTTTTTAATTAACCATCATTTGTAGTGACACTATTATCTCCTATATACAGTGTGATTCTTTTATCATAATCCAGTTATTTTCTGGGAGTATTTTAAGTGAATTCTAGATCTATATTTTTCAATCATTAAATAATTGTTTAAGCTTTAATTTAACACTATTTTCAATTGTTTATCTCTACTCATTAAACCTGAAATAACTGTTTATAAAATTTGGAACTCAAAAGTGTGGTATAAATATGGTTTACCTATAGTTTAACAAATATCACAGTTACTGTATAAATTAGGAAGTAAATGTTAAAATAAGTAAGTATAAATAATAGTTATACTGATACAAATCGTAATAAATAACATAATTAAATATACAGGCATGTTAGCAAGATGACACTGCACAGAAAATATGGCCGCCACGGGCGTACATAATAGAAAAAATAATATTATCATCGATTTTTTACATCGTTATCGTTTAATATTAAAGTAATAATCGAGGTGAATTAATCCTCATTGGTAATTATAATACGATACCACATCTTGACAGTTGTCAAATTGATATCAGATGTAATATGGACGATACTAGCATAAGTGATAGTAGTGATAATGTAATTTGGTTATCTTGCCACGCCTGTGTATTATTTAGCCATCACAAATACGCTTTAATTTCAAAATTAATGTCATGATATGAAATAACTTCCATATTTTGCTAAAAACGTATTATACCTAAACTAACTTTGAATAATAACTGATAATTGAATAACTAATTAATAGAACACGGGTCAAAAGGTGGTCGATAAGATATCTCGAAAGTATTAACTTTTATTGGAATTATTTTTTTGTATCTTATCGAGGATTGATCATCCTGTCATCCTGTAATCTTGAAATTGTTTTGTTGTTAGTAATAATATTCATCACGAGTCACGACCCAATAGGAAAAAAAATCATACTATATTATAAAAATTATACCTCATATTAATAATATTATTATCTCCTAAAGTATAAAAAAAAGACTAAATGAAACTCAAGATATACTAAAATACAAAAAATATAATTTTAAAACAATTTATCTTTGAATTCTGTAATCTACAAATCAACTAAATTTGTTATCTCTTTGAGCTGCTTAAGCCAATAAACATATAACATCCATTTAATCTTAAAAATTCGCTCTATATTTATAAGCATCAATTGTAAACAAATTTATTTATTGTTTAATATTAATTGGGCTAATTTTATCGTGGTTTTTATTTATAGAACAATAAATATACGTAAACATCTAGAAGAAAATAGAAGAAAAAAAAATCTATTAAAATGTCAAAAAAAGGTGTTTTCAGACAAATATATGTCACGGTAGTTGGTAAGATATAAAAATACTACACAAAAGAATTATGATTAATATTTTTTATTGCAGTACCTAGTAAATAATATATTAATTAATTTAAATTTTTACAGCTACGTTAACAATATTCATAAGTGGCATGTGGTTAGGATGGCCTAGTTCAGTCGTCGAGAAGGCTATGAAACACGAGATAGATATAAATGTAACCATGGACGAACTGTCATGGATCGTGGCCATGATGGATTTGGGTAATATGATCAGTCCTCTGTTCGCTGGATATTTAATGGACAAGTTGGGTAGGAAACTCAGCACCTTCATCCTCGGGCCCCTGTTCATAATCAGCTGGTTACTGACGTTGTATGTGCCCACCACTTGGGCTTTGTGCACGGCCAGACTGATGGCCGGCATGGGCAAAGGCATATCTTACACAGTGGTGCCGGTATTCTTGGGTGAAATAGCCGGAGTCAAGATCCGCGGGGCGCTGAGTAGTACGTTTTGCATTCAACTCCACTTCGGATTTCTGTTGGAAGCGGTGGTCGGGCCATTGGTCAAGTACCGGACTCTGAACACAATGTCCGCTGTCTTCCCCGTGGTGTTTACCGTGTTGGCTTTCTGGATTCCCGAATCTCCGTATTATCTGTTGAAGAAAAACCGACGAGTCGAAGCGGCCCGGTGTCTGCAATGGTACAGGTGCGAACAGGACGATGTCAAGTTAACAGACGAGCTACGGCAGATGGAAGTGAACGTTGAGAGAGAAATGGAAAACCAGTCAACGTTCCGCGAAGTGTTCACCAGTCCCAAGGATCGGAAAGCACTTGGGATCGTGGTGGTTGCGTGCATCACTCAGCGTGCTGGCGGCATCAGTTGTATACTCGCGTTTTCCGCCCTAATATTACCTGAGCCGGCCCCCGTCATTCCCCGGTTCGAGCACATGATCGTTTTTGCCACTGCCATAGTAGTTGTGAACATTATGTGCGCGACTCTCGTGGACAAAGTCGGCCGGAAACCTCTGCTAATCACTTCCCAAGTGGGCACAGGCATTATCACCAGCGTGTTCGCGATCTATTTCTACACGGGCACGTCTTTGCGTTTCGTATGGCTTCCGTACGCGTTATTTATATCTTTCTCCGTAATGTTCGCTGTTGGTGTGGGGTTTATACCTGTCATCTATCTAGGTGAAATGTTTTCGGTCAACATCCGGTCGCATTGTTCGTCTATCGCTTCTATTGCGTTGGCCTCCAGTTCATTCGCTACTAATAAAATCTTCCTGTTCGTCTCCCGGACGTACGGCATCCATGTCATGTTCTGCCTTTTTACCGTCGTTAATTTCTTGGGTGCCGCGTACTCGTGTAAGTATGCTATTGAGACAAAGGGAAAAACTCTCCTGGAAATCCAACAGATCCTCGAGAAAAAAGTTATAAAGCATCAACCAAATACGACATAATCTGAATCTGAATAATACATTGGTTTGTCGTTAAAATGAAGTTTTACCGGAAGCATCCCTGTAACTCTTGTTCAAAATAAATTCTTTACGAAAAGTAGATAATGTAATTAAAATCAATAAAGTATAATATAAGATGTGCATTTTTATACAATTATTATTTTATTGCGTGCATGGTACATTTATAATTTCGATTGTTTCTGATATATTTCAATAAACTGCATAATTTATGTATAAGCTATATATAAGTACATACCTACTTATATTATTTAGAAAATGTTTTTGATAAACTATATAGTGTTCGAACGTACAATACAGTTATGGATAAAACTACTCAGTTTTATATATATGTAGGTTTTTATCTGAGTCGTTTCCAGACCTATGCTATGAGGGGGGGGAAGGGTAGGTGAAATTCAGAAACAGAGAATTAAGCCATTTTTCATTGTTTAGAACTTAGTACCCCGCCTCTCAATATATAAGTATGTTACAAAATTTTTCTTCATTAAAAACAAATCATCGTATAGTATATATAAAAGACACGAGTTCGACTTTATTCCATTTAATATTTAGTCACTGAAAAATAAAGTAATTTATTGATGTTTAAAGAAGTTTTCATAATAATTCGAAAAAATCCAAAGAGAAGAAAAATATTTTTTAAACAACGATTTCATTATTTAAAATGTTTAAGATTATATTTGTCTACCACAGATCTCGAAAAAAAAAAAAATTTTAGTAATAAATATTTTTGTTGTTATTCGATTAAAAATTCTTGAATTTAGAATTCTTGTAGGTCTCTAACTATAGTTTTCATAAAATATTTATTTTAGCATTTTGAAATTTTTTATGTTTTATATGTTTTTATATGTATTAGATTCGAAGTTTAACAAGAGATTTATTAGTTTACTATGAAATTTATTTGTTTTTTGTGTGTCTGTAAGTAACTTCTATACCAGAAAATTTGCTCCAAAGTATTAAGTGTAGCGTCTTCTCTGAAAGGCAATTTTTTTAGTTGGTGAATTAAAAAGGTAATTTTTTGATTTTTTTAAGGAGTTTTCAAAATAATTGGAAAAATTATATGTAAAATGGTAAATATTTAACGCTGCGTTACCGATTACATTATTTTAAATTTGTATGTATATTGTTTTCTACCAGAAATATTGCTTCAATCAAAAAATGACAAAATATCGATTTGGTTCCTTTCAATATATAACCGTTGACATAGAAAGACGTTTCTCGATATCAAAAGTAGTTTTCATAATAATTGGGAAAAACCAAAAAATTTAAATTAATTTATATTTATGGCAACGTAGCGTTCGGGTTAGTTATTTTAAATTTTGCAAACTATGTATTCTATCGGAAATTTAAATTGAAAAATTACAAGAGATTGATTTTGTTCCTTTTAATATATAACCACTGAAAATCATATAATTTTAATAATAGATACCTACCAAATAAAAATACATATAATAACATGAAAATATAAAACATCTACTAATAATCTAAAAGTAGCTAGAATATTTTGAAAATTTTACCACATTTGCAAAAGACCAATATAAGTATTTTGTAAAACTTACAAAGTATCTATAATAATTTTTGGGAATAGCCGAATTGGTTCCAGTTTGGAAATGGGTTTATCGCAGGTAGTTACCGAATTGGTTTCCGTTTGGAACTGTGTCTAATTTGTGTACATATAATAGGTATATTTATATGTATACATATATGTTCATTTACGCTCGATTTGACTGTCAACCAAAAATTAAGGTAAGCATGGTTAATAATGTCGTAATAAGCGTATAAAAGTATCATTCAAAAAATAATAATTTTCAATATATAGTAAATAAAAATATTAAAATATTAAATTCTAAGTGCAAACTTAAAACTGACTTTCTTCAAATAATTAATTCGTGGAAACATCCCATTTCCATAGTCTCTCATGCATTTATTTAAGTATTGTATATTTTGATCTCGTTTGTTTGCGCGTTTTCTAGTATTGATACTATGAAGTTTGGTATAATTTAGTATTTGAATACTGTTCAAAGTGTCCATGAAGTTGAATATGTTAGGATGGGTACTAATAAATTCATTATTTAGCTTTGAATGACACGACTCACAACAATTCATAGTTCTTTCGATATTGTTGTCAAATCGGGCCCACATCTTTGGAAGAAAAGTACAGTCTGTATCATTAACGTAGTCGAAAAATTGATCCAATTTCGGAGAGCATGGTTTTATGGTCATTAATTTGTTATAAAAACAGTCTTCGACATCCCCAGGAGATAAAAGTGGTAATCCAAAAAATAATTTTAAAAATTGCCCAATTTCTGACTCTTCGTTTTTAATTCTACACATAGACTAACTTGTTGAATTTTTCTCCACCATGACTGTGTTAAATGAAACCTAAAACCACGAACTGTAACTAGTGGCCACTGTGCATTTATAGCATAATGTATTGCCATTTCAAAATCAGCGAACATTGTGTCCACTTATACGTACTCTGCGATGTTTTTGAAAGTAAGCATAAAACTTTCCGTATTTTTGTTTGAGAGTAAGGTAAATACGATAGGTACATAAAAAGTTCCATTCTTGATAAATATAGAAAATAATTGGTAAAATTGTTTTGGACAACTTTTAAATGTGCCATCGACAAATACCGTATTGGCTTTTTTGAGACACTTCAAGTTCCTTATGTATGTATGTAAATGTAATAATATTGTTTATCAATGAATATTCATTGACACAGTTATGTATTTCTTCAAGAGTAGATGGTAGCTTTGACATTATCCTTAATTTTGCAGCATTTTAATTTGTACGTACTCTGTTTATGTCAGTTTCTGTTAATGACTTACTATTACTACTTGCAGCTACCTCCTTGCGTATAATTTTCGTCGGTCTTTCCGTTATAAGATCTTCCCCCTTTCTCTTCAAGGAATTTGTCAATTTTTGTCGCAAAATAATATCATCGTCATTCATTTCATGATTATGCGACAAAACTTGTTTAAATAAGTTATTGTCTTTCATTTTAATGTAAGCATTATACGCACGTTTCGTACATATCTATTTCTGTACATTATCCGCAAGATTTTTTTGAAATCCAAACTTATAATTATTAACTATTAAAATCCTTTTTTCTTTTTTGTTAAACATGAACTCCATAATGAAAAATAAAAATAAAGAAAACGACACGAGACTGCTATACACAAATATTGAAAAGTATGCTATCTATTGAGATTAGTTGTGAGACAGGTCATAAATTAAAAATTATCTACTAAGATTACCTTCTTAGGTATTACTGTACTCCCATATTGGGGTTTTCACATTTCACATTCACAATCTTCAAATAGTAAAAATAGTAGGTACTTGCATTTTATAATTTCGAGAAATATAATTTACTGTCATTATACATATACATGTATGTGTGTACTATATAATATACTATACACATAGAAAATAATTTGGCCAAACGGAAACCAATTCGGCCAACACCTGAATATTAATGAGTCTCAAACGGGAACCGATTCGGACACTGCGACCAAGACCCAGGAACCAATTAGGTATCACCCTAATTTTTAACCGAATAACAACAAAAAACCCAAACACCGTACATTTTGCCATATTTCCAACGTTTTTTTTCCAGTTTTTCGTAAGTATTAGGAAAACTATACGGAATATAAAACGACATTCTTACTCACAAACACAAAATTTTCTTTTAGAAAATATGTTAGTCTTAAAATTCAAATAAAAATTTTTGGTGAAAAAATATAATCAAACAAATTTTAAGTAATGAAATCGTTGCACTGTATCTTGAAAAACATAATTTTGTTTTTTTTATTTTTCCAATTATTATGAAAACTCATTTAAATATCAAAAAAAATACTTTCTCTGTCAGTGGCTATATTAAAAAGAACAAAATCGATCTTATGCCGATTTTCAATTCTGGTAGTAAACATCGTTTTCAAAAATAACCGTTGCCATTAACATTCTATTAATTATAATAATATTAATCAATTTAATTTTTTTAGTTTTTTTCTAATCATTATTAAAATTATTTAGGATATAAAAAAACTTGTTTCTTTGTCAGTTGCTAACTATTAAAAGGAACAAAAATAATTTTTTATTCGAATGGATCAAAATTTCTGATCGACATTCCAGACACTCTCAGTGTGCGCCACTGCACGTCTATTTAACTCCTGATTGATCGTAATAGAAAAACTCGAAGACAGGACTTCAATATAATATTCCTTTATAAATTAATACATAATAAGGTATGTTGCCTTCAATTACTAGGAAAATTACATTATAAAGAAATCAAGAAATAAAGATCCATTTTTTATTAATAATGTTAAAGCCGAATATTCATTTTCTTCTCCAGCTAATACTTTAATGATGGCTGGAAATTGTATTAATTTAGATTTATTTTGTTGCTCAATAAATGATATAAACTAGGCGTTAAATTTATAAACATTGTCTTTCATATTATACTTATTGATATAATATTTTTGATTATTAAATACCTAAAGATATTATTTAATTATTAGGCTTGTTTATGTAATCAATTCGAGATATTGATAAGTGCTATAGATATTATCAACCACAGATCACAGTATTGCAATGAGGTTATATTATTTTATTACGTAGTTAGTACAAATAATTAATACATGATAATACAACCAAATAAATGAAACAAATATAATACTTAAAAATAAAATCCAATCATAATTTAGGGTAATATTCGTTATTTTAGTTTAGCTATTTTATATTTAATAATTCATATTCAAAGTTTAGTTTTTTAACGTTTTTTTTGTTAATTGTAAGTTACCTATTAAAAAATATTATTTTTTTTTTTTTTATTAAAGTAATAAAGTTATTCTACATGGTCATACACCGTCAATATTTGTCATTAATGATGTATGACCGACATTGGTTGTCATAACCGGATTAAGGGGGGGGGGGGGGCTAAGCGTGCTATAGCCTAGAGCCCCCCCCCCCCCAAAATAATATTATAGGCTTAAACCTTTTCTACATTTATAGATATAAAATTTAAAAAATTATTTTAACAATATTTATTTAAAGATACATTCATATTGATCATAAATAATTGTTTTTGGAGTTCCTAATAATGGTAAATATTTAGAACTTATAACTCAATTTGACCCATTTTTAAAAGAATACATAATTAAATTTGGTAATCAAGGAACAGGAAATCCTTAATTATCAAAAACTATTTTCGGAAAACTCATTCAACTTATGGGCAAACAGTCTTAAAACTATTATTGAAGAAATACATATTACTAAATATTATTTATTAATTGTAGATACTACACCAGATTATTCACATATTGATCAATTATAAATTGTTTTTAGATATGTATATATGGGTGAAGTTAATGAACGATTTGTACATTTTATTCAAATAAACATTCATAAAGAAAAATCGCTTTTTGATATCCTTAATAATTTTTGAAATTAATATAATTTAACTTTAGAAAATTACCATGGACAGTCATTTGATAACGCCGCAAATATATCTGAAAAATATTAGCAAGTTCATAAAAGCTCATACAAAGAAATTAATTTGCTCAATTTGTTCCTTGTGCAGGTCACTCGCTAAATTTAAATGGCGTCAATGTTACTGAATCATGCCAAGAAGAAATACATTTTTGTTCATACTTACAAAAACTGTATAATTTGTTTTCACCTTCACCTTGAAGGTGGGCTGTTTTGACAACTAATTTGAGTCCAAATGATAATCAAAAACTACTTAGTCTTAGAGTTTGAATCAAACTAGGTGGTGTTGTCATTTTGAATCTGTTAGAGCATAGCATTATTTATTAATTATGTCAATTATGATAATATTTTTAATTGTTTGGAAAACATAGATACCTAAGGGCATCATTTCAGTATTTTTTTGGGGTGTGCGAGATGTCAAACAGGCCATTATAAATATTTCAGCAGACCACATAAAAATGTACATATTTATATATATACCCTGTTTAAAAAGAGAACATACCGTTTCACGACCAGTTTTTGTACTGCAGCATGCATCCCCATCATAGCACTAGTCACGACCATAGACATTTTTTTTTTTTTTATTTATCAAAAACAAAACATTTAATATACATCAAAATTTAATTTGTTACAGAATTGATTAACATACCTCCTGTAAGCTTATGCAGCTTGTGTTGGAGATAAGGAGCTATGATTACTACTAAATCTATTTACATAATAAATAAGAACAGTGTGATTAATAAGTGTGAATAAGTGTGATTAATGTTAAGCTTTCTTGAATGCCAAAAATTCCGTATTGTATTTTCTTCATATTATACTGATTTTTTCATTAACACATATATATGAAAATAATGAGATTAAAAAATGTTTCTTCTAAAAATAGGACAATAGGTGTCCTAAAGTTTCCAAATTTGTTTGGAGAACAGGACATGATAATCGAAAAAGGGATAAACCCGTTTCAAAAAGAATATATGGTAGCTCTAATATGTATCAAAATTTATTAGTAAATAGTTAATTAATATCAACGCATTGATTATGTATATCGGCGGTTCTTAAACTTTTGATGCGTAAGGACCCCTAATAAAATTTTTTTAGAAATTGTGGACCCAATACCTTTTGATAGAGCTGCCACGGTACCCTGACATGAATATCGTAAACCCCCAGGGGACTGCCGACCACAGTTTAAGAACCGCTACTATAATAACTATGTAATATAAAAAACTGATATATATTATAATCAAAGAATAGGGTTAATTTTTTCTATATTTAAACAAATGTAAGTTTTTATCATCAAATATTATAATATATATAAATAAATGAAATTAATATTGAATAGTTGAAATAAAGTAAAATAAATTGTAGGTTAAAAGCTAAAAAAAATAAAAAAAAATTAAATTATACATTTTTAGATAATTTAAAACTAGTTAAAGTTATATTTTACTTTCAAGTATATTATTGACCTGGGGCAAGTAATGATTTTTCCATAAACTTCTTACGAGCAAAGCATAACCACCATTTAGAAGGTTTTCCATCATCAGTTGAAAATACTTTTTCACACACTCTTTTGCCAGTCTCTTTTCGTAGCTGTTCCAAGTATTGACGCATTACATCTATTTAAAATATGATATTTTTAATATTATTTCACCATAAGATAGTTAAGTATCAGCCATTACCTGCTTCACCAACTGATGATGGTTTTGCATAAACTGAATTTAATGGAAATCCAGCTTCACCGGGTATATCAAATCTATAAAGTGCCAATGAATACATTTCAGACATTCCTTGATCTTTACTCTGACACTTCTGAAGTTTTTTTAAACATTCAGTTATGTATAAAGTTATGTAAATCAATACACGATCTGCTTCACTCTGAAATGATGATTTTAATTTATTATTATTAAAAAATGATTATTGTACTGAGAAGAATAGGCAATACCTTAACTTCGTATGATCTAAAAAATACATTTGCTTTGAAATATGATAATGCCTCATCAATTATATCCATATCTGCATTTGTAGAGCTGAGCAATGGGGCTGGACCTTTGTATTGAGATTTTAATGGAACTATTGCCATATTTCCAGCTAGTTGTTGGTAATCTTTTATATTAGAATGATATGCCTGAAAATGGATTTTAATATAACAGAATACATAAATATTTTACAGTTTTGTAATTTTTCTTAGATACAGACTATTATCAAATTAAACTAACCTAAGTAATATTCAAAAAATGTAACAGATTATGACATCATAAATAAATAAATATCATAATTTATTATTTCCAAGGCACTGAGCAATGCTAAATGTGGGTACAGTTTTAGAAAAGATCGTATTTTAATAAGCAATTTATAATTAATTATACAGGCATATGTACAATATACCTAGACAATATGAAAAACAAAATTTGTAGTAGGGACATAGCCAATGATCTGTATTTTTTCAGTTTTATTAATGTAATTTGAAAAATTATGTTATCATAACTATATCTTCCCAATCAAATTTTAAAATTTCTATACTATCTAAAAACTAAAATACCCGATTTAAATTATATACCTACCTAAATTCCCTGTAGCCCCAATATCTAAATAATGTATTATTAATATAAATTTTAAATATACACAGTCTACAAGATAGGTAAGGCCAGATTAAAGATCTAATGGGTCCTTAGCCCTTAAATCAAACGAGAACTGTTATAATTCTTGGTGCTTGAGATAAACTTATTTTTTGTGATAATCAAATCACAATAGTTCAAAAGAATTTAAGTAGATGAGCCAATTTAAAAGAGATTTAATCTCCATCTTAATTTAATTATTAATATTTTATAATTGATACTAGTATTAGATTATTAGATTTTTAACTATTTAGAATACTACCTATTTATTGTTTAATTTATCAATTGTACTTAAAAATTTAATGCATTTACTCCATAACAATATCTAAGGTTTACGTATTTGCTATAAATCAGGAAAGGTAAAACTTTTTTTGGTAGAGATCTACTAAGAATATACTTTTCCTATGAGAATTGACTTCCTAAAATAAATGTATAATTATAATTTACCTAATAAGTATTAATAATAAACATCTGTGTACAAATGATAAAATTAAAATGTTTGGTTAAATAATTTTTTCATAACATTTTCATTAAGATTGATATAATATTGTAAAATATACAATTTTCATAAATACACACTGTTGAATTGTATTACTCGATAAGTTCACAATAAAATTATGATATATTAAGATTAAAATAATCATTTGCGATTTTGATTTATCTACTAATTATATAAAAATAAATGCTAACAAAGTGAGATTTACATTTAAGCCATCTACAATCTACTGGTCGTTCAAGATAAATAAACAAACCTAAGCGACAGGTCAATGTATACTGTTCAGATGGCCAGTAAGAATTAAACAAATACCAAAAAAAAAATCTCCACAGCAACTATACTGTCAAAAATAATACATAATAAATAATTTGACATATATATATATATATATATATATAAAAATTGAATATAGTATAAATCAGTCAGTGGCTTGAGTACATTGCTGGACACAGCTGTCAGCTATCAAAAAATCTCCAATACTTATCTCATCATCATTTTGTTTCTTTAAAACAGATTAATCAGTATAAGTTTCCATTTTGTGAAACGTTTTTAACCAACTAATTTAGAGAACTTATTATTCTATCCTTCAACAACACTGTTGGTTATGAGGCAGTCATTGAGGGTAGTTTCATTGATTATCCATACATTTAGTGGGTACATTAATGGCAGTTTTAGAAATCTAATATTATTTTTATAGTTTCAAATTATTCTGTTTGCCATTAACATAATATGCATCAAAATAGTCTAGTATGTCTGAAAAATTTTCTAGTAATTTAATGTTTTGTTTGTAATCTATATACTAATATGTACTAAAAAACTACTAGGCTAATGGTCTGCATTGTCCAAAGAACTATCCCACTACCATCCCTCCAAAATCAGTTTCTATGTATTTTTGATAAAAAAATAATTATGGGCAATGTTTTACAAGATAATACAGATGACAATGATCAGAAGATAATTTATCTGTATAAATAAAATTGCAGCATAAATCTGTAAACTTTTTAAATATTATTATTTTTAACTGTATTGTTATTTTGGGGGTTTATTTTTCAAGTATTTTTTATACGATTACTGGTATAACAGCCAGTATCTAATTTTTTTGTAGATAATAAATAAATTATCATTTTTCAATTATTTTACTAATTCGTCATTGGTTGTGTAGTGAGAGAATCACTTACCACAATATTATTTTGGTCAACACCGTCTTTTATATTGGTTTATTACCTAGTAGTTATCAGATACATTTAATCTAAAAATAGAAGGGCATTAACCAAAATTGCAATTAATTATCTATTATCATCTATCAGTATCCATCTAATATGTTCATATGTATATAAATTTTCAAATGTAACCAATGACAGATTAAATATTAAAAAACAAAACTAAATTTTAAAAATTAACTTGATATGAGAAAATCAAATTAAAATATCAAAAAATTACAATAACTTATATCCTGCATCATGTTAATATCCAAGACATATTAATAAATATTTGACCAATATACAAACAGAGATAACAGTATATGATTGTGATGAAAGAATGAAAGATAAAATAAACTACATTGAAAATATTAAAATAGACTGGATACATTTCTTAAACATATTTACCTATACAAAAATAGGTATCTATTATATTATTATATTTCATATTCATAATGACACTAATTCATTTTACACATTTTTATTTCTAGTACTAGGTAATTTAAATAATATATTACATGTATATATTTTTACTTATTATTAATTCTTATTTGACTAGAATAATCATATTACATATAAAATAATCATATAATATTAAATCAAATATTCTTTATTCTAAAGTCACTAAACAGATAAATTAAACTTGAAAAGCATGCTATTAATTATTTTAAACATCAATAATAAATTAATCTTTCATGAACATTTTATACCAAGTTCAGTTTAAGTTTAACACATTATAAATACATGTAAATTATACATCTAGTATCAAATTAATAAGTCATACTTACAGGCATTGTGTATAAATGTATCAAACTATAATGCAATAATGAATATTCAATCACAATTTTTGAGGTATATTATTCAATTGAAGAGTAAAGAAAAACTGTTAATAACTATGAATTTCTGAATTATTATCAATAACATTTAAATTTAATAAATAAATATTAAATTAATATTTTAATAATCCAAATACTATAACTTTGGAGAAAGAAAACTAATGATAAAGACAATGACTTATTAATTTGTTATCAATGAGTAGATTACCTATATTTTTATAAAAATATTTTTTTTTTATGTGGAATCATGGACTACAAAATAGATAACTTTGTGTATGGAACAAATGTTTTGTGGAACAAAAGTTTATTGGAAGAATAGTTGTGGAACAAAAGACCGTTAGAACAAATGTTTATAGAATATGTAAAAATGTAAAATGTGGAACAAGTACTAACCTTGCTCCACAATATGACAATATTTTATTGTTCAAATGTAAGTTAGGGCGAAGGTAGCTGACTCCAAATAGTTGGGATGAAGACGAATAAAAAAAAAAAATAAACATGGAATGGTTTAGTAATGATATCAAACTGCTGTTTTAAGATAACGCAATATTTCTATTATCACTAGTAAATTATATAAAAATTATGTATGAATCATTTTCATTATCAAAAATTATTATACATTCAATCTTAAAAAAATTAATATTAAAAATACGAATATAAAATGAATTATTAACTGTACTAACACTGTGTAATTTGTTTAGAAAATGTTAAGCTTAATAATTAAGGTAAGATTCAAAATGTATAACTACATTAATTTAGTTGTCTATATTATATTGATTATTGTTAATTTAATAATAGGTACTTTTAAAATGAAAGTATAATTAATTTTATATGTTTTTATCTTTTTAGATTTGTCACTCATAAGAATATGTGGACTAATTATAAAAGGTTATTTAATGGTATTAATGTGAATACAATTATTTGTGTAGTTCACAAAAGTCATTATGAAGCACTAAATATCCAAAAAACTGCAACACATAAAGAAATAAAGGATGCTTATTACCGATTATCAATGATATACCATCCGGATAAAAATAAAGGAAGTGAAGATGCTGCAAAACATTTTCGGGATATTACTTCAGCATATGAAATTTTAGGGAATGTCCGTCAAAGAAGATTGTATGATAGTGGAGTTAACCAAACCAAGATAAATGCTCAGTATACTAGTAAAAAACCATTTGAAACAATGAATACAGCAAGTGAGGTGTATAAAAGCAATACTCGTAGTAGAGAATATAATTTTGATAGTTGGTCTAGAGCTCATTATACAAATGCATTTCAAAAACACTATGGTAATCGAGAAATACTTTCGCAAAGGAAAAAAAATATGGAGCAAGTAAACCAGCAACACACTTATAATGTATTTATAATTATAGTTACCACTTCTATTGCTATTTTATATTTTATGTTTGGATATCTATCAAATTTTATAGTATTCAAACAAAGAAAAATTAATCCATTTTTTAATAATGAGCCTAGCAAAACAAAAGATTAAATTGAAATTGCATTTTGCAAATCAAATTATTGTGTTAGTTATAATAATCTGTATTAACAAAATTAAATAACAATTGTAATTACAAAACTATGTTATGTCAGTTTTATATATGTATAATAATTTTATAGTTTTTAGTTTATTAAATTAAAAGTATTCTAATAATCGATTTTTGATATAGTATAATCATATTTCAATGAATATTTGAAATATTTGATTTATTTATTTTTTGTTTGCACACATATATTTTTAAATATGCAGATTTTTAACTTTATTTATCATATATTTATTAAAAATTAATATTTATTACTATTGATTTTACAATACAGCCTTTATTGATTTATTAATTGTATTAATGTACTGTATAGTTTTTTTTTAGAATGCATACTGATAAATCCAAATTTATATTCAATTATTGGGCTAATTTAATTTGTTGTACTATTTATGAAAAAAAATATCTGTTAGGTACTAATGTACTATTAATTTAAAACTATACAATCAAAAAATAAATAATAAAATGTATATTTATAAATATATAACTAAATAAAATTTAATAGATGACCTTAGGGAAGAAGTAATTTATTAATTTCCAATCTTCCAATTTTCTTGTGTAAAATTCATTACAAAATACTTATTTTTAAAATACAGTCAAATTACTTTATGGTGAAACAGTAATAGCAAATAATTGTGCTTACTAAAGAAAAAAAAAACAAAGTATGTAAATACTAAATAGTAAAAATACATATCTTATTGTTCTTATAAATTACTAATTTTAATTTTTTTTCTTATCATTATTGATTACCTATTGATTAGGGATCAATATTCTTTGTATTTTTAAAGTAGACAATTTTTTTAGCCATTTCATTCAGATATTTTGTCCAACAACAGCCTATGCATTTATTGACGTGTAACCTTTTCTGTTACAATAAACCTCAAACGCTAAACCAATAAACGCTGGAAAGGAAAAAAAAAAGTATCAACCTGTCTGGTATTATAACCCGGAACTAGAAAATATTCTACTAATATAAAAAAAAAAAAATTTTAATTCGTATTTAATTTGTGTTAGTTATACACTACAATACACAATAAGAAAATTAATAAATGGTTTTTGTGTTCTTGAATTGATTATTTTATAATCAATTCTCATTTAGTAAAAGTATAATGTATGAGTATAATGAGATCTAGGACATTTTAACATGCCGATTAACTTTTTAACAAGCTGATTTAGGGTGATCAACTCAACAATCGTTTTAATAATGTGTTAAAAGTTTTAAGTCTAACAAATCTTAATGAAACCTAATTTTTACTGAATGTTTAACTAAATCTTCAATGGTACGGTGTCCAATGCACTCACGCTCAAACTCGCGCTATCAAACCGTTCACTTTTCATTTACGAGCTATAATCGCATTGTATTACAATTGTTCCAAAGCGAACGAATATTTGCATACGTAAGTAATAAACAAAACAAAAATTGCTTACACCCGTGGATTGTGATATATTTCATTGTATTGGTTTATATTTTTTAATTTTTGACATTTTTTTTAATACATGTAATTTGCATTTGTACAATTTCAATGATGCATGCAACATATCTAAAAATAAAATATAAGAATTGTTTTATTTATTTATATATTAAATTTAAAAATAATCGGTCATGTTGGTCATTTGTCGGAAGTTTCTGTCTTTGTCTTATACACGTGAGCTATAGGGATTTTGATGTGTTTTAATTCCAACGTACCAATTGACCTAGTGAAGCACAGTGGCACCGAGTACCTATGTAATTTAGGTGGTTCATTTGAAACACCTAAATTGAGTGGGTGGATGATTGCTAGCACTGGGTTATATTATAAAGTTATAATTTAGTAGGCATAGCATAGGCGTGACTAGACTTCATCGACAGCGGCAGCCTAGCTAATAATCAGCACCATTTAATGAGCCAAAAAAATCCCCTATAAATATGGGGGGGGACATTAGCTCCCAATTAAATATTTATATAATTATAAAACCAGTATTATCTATTTACAATTAATATTGGATCAGTATTTTCAGTACCTTTAAATTAAACTACAGAAATATTATTCATGTACAGGCATAGATTACACCACTATACAATTAAGTAATTAATAAAATATATGATGTGTTAGTGTAAAGAATAATAAAAAAGATAGAAAATAATATTTTGTTAAAAAAAATGCATAATACGATTTTTTTTTTTAAATTTAAGTTGGAAAACATCACTAGACATACAATTTGGTTTTCAAAAATTTCAGGGGCAGCCCAGGCACCCTAGGTCACCACCGTAGACACTTCTATGAGGCATAGGTACTCAATTGTAATTTGTTTAAAACTATGAACATATCTACCATATAAGTGACAACGCCGATTAAAAGAAACTGTATTAATTTATTGCCGTGTAGCGTGTGCATAACGATGTTTAAACACAAAATATTAAATATTATGAATGATGAATGAATGTCACGTTGACACTCATTTATTTTAGGTATATGATTTTAAAATAAAATAAAAAATGAAATTTACGTAATCATCTTGTTCATTTTTTAGACAGTTTTAAATTAAAACAAATCCTGTTTTGTTAGCAAAATCTCGACGAGATTAGTAACAGAGGAAAATAAAAAAAATACAAAATAATCGTTTCGAGATCGTTGGATCGAATTCTGTACCATATGAATTGGAAGTGCCGTGTTATTTTATTTGGATACTTTGAACATATTGAACAAGCATTTGGCACTTTAAATCGACTAATCAGAAAGCACAATTGGTTAGCAGGTGCCGTATTTATCTATATTCGAAATGTGGTATTATAGGAGAATGTTGAAGATAAGCTGGATGGACTATTCTGCCCATCCAGCTTATTGGTTATTCAAACAATAAAGAAATAACCGAATCGAAAGATATTTAGTTACAAATAATCGATCACCCAAAATTATCAACTATATTAATTTTCCTACTAGAACTATAGTTGAAATTATAGTTAAAATCACTTTTTCTAATATAAATTGTAAATTGTTTACTCCTACAAAATGGCTCCACTCAGAATTAAAAATCATAGGAATATGTAATAATTAAAAAAACTTAGTTAAAAATACATATTATTTTGATGGGTCAATGCTACAGTAATCTGTAGATATTATACCAGTGCCTGTCAACAGTGCTTTCATTGAGGCCATGTGTGTGTTTGTTTAGCACTCTTCTAGATATAGACACAAATAGTATTTGAGATTGGGGAAGGGGACTGAAGTTTGGGATCTCAGAATTTGGAGAAATAATAACCACTTAATAACTGTTCTCGATTTGCTCCTTTTAAAATGTAAACACATCTACATTTACAGATCGTAACAATTATTTGCCTATATAAAAATCCTTAGAAAGTTTAAACTACATTTTGTAATTATAAATCACGTTACACTACTTAATGACGTTAGTTTTATTTAAAAGTTAAAACTTTAGTTTTCGAGAGTATACGATTCGTAACTATACGATTTGTGCGTTTATTTTTTCCGGATTTTATACAGTCCGGGACTATACGGTTTATGTATATATTTTTCCAGCAGAATACGGTCCGTAATTATACGGTTAGTTACTTTCCGGATTTCTACAGCCTGGAAAATATAGTTTACCTATATACGATTCCAGAATTCTACGGTCTATGAGATTACTTTCTGGGATTATACATGCGTCTATTGAAAGCGTCCCATACGGGAAGCCGTAAAATTCCGGTATTGGTATTGGTGTCGGTAGACGTAAAATGGTGTGGTTTTAAATGGATAGTTTTCATATTGACACCGATCCGATAAAAATATTATTTTAGTACGATGATATCAGTATGCATGTTGGACAAATGACTAATGTCGGACGATATTTTTAAACGCATGTATGGGACGCTTTCAACGACCAATACAAACAGATGGTCAGTTTTCACAGACGGCCGATAACTCATGCGAAATAGTTGAAAAACTTAATTTTGTCTTCTAATAATTTGTTAAAAGTGGTATAAAATGCACCTTCCACATATCTAATTTCTAATATAGGATGAACCCAATATCTCTTTATTGAGGTTTGTATAATCAAATAATGTTTTTTTCTAAGACGCAACAATGCTAACAGTGCTAAATATTTTTGTTATTCATTTTAATTAATTAAAAATGATACTCATTCAAGTTAGGAACTACGAACTATGTATGAAAATCAGTGATCAGCTACCGTCGATGATAAATCGGTCTTAATGTAAAAGCAATATCCGATGTCGTCCAACACCGTCGACCTCAAGAATCGGTCGATAATAACGGTGAGTGTGAATACGCCCTTATAAATAGCAGAATTAGTTTTATGAAGGCCGATTGCCACTGCTATGATTGAATAGGTACCACGGAATGAGATATAATAATATCTTTGTCTATGCTATTACCTATTTTAAATTTGTAAAGTTATGGTAGATAGGTTAAAATAAACACAATTATTAAAATTGATTAAAATTGATTATTAAAAGCAATATATTCATTCATCAAAAATAACGCACAGCCTATTGATACAATAACAACACGATTTTTCCTATTCATTTTAATTGCAATGGGCTGTCATTTTAGATTTATAGTTAAATTTTATACAAGATGACAATAATTAATTAAGTATGACAATTAAAAGGTAGGTATAGTAACAATATATTAATTTATAATTTCAATAAAAATAGTAAGTTATATAATAATAATGGGATAAATAATAAAAATATATATATATACATTAAGTACCTATACGTATTAAATAATATATTATAGACTAACTTCTAAAATGTAGGCGAACAATAAAATATTTTTAAAACAAACAAGAGACAAATGTCAAGCGATATTATATTATCAATTTATCATAAATTAAACGGTTAATTTTAATATCATATGAAATATTCGAATACATATTAATTTTCTAAATAGTTCATTGGTTAAAAATAAATATCCATATAATGTGTACTTGCATACATATACGCATTTCCTACGAGAATTTACTAATTTAAAGTTCTGGTTGGTAAAAGTCTATTACTTCCATTGCTTTAAAATAGTATATTTTCGTAGGACACTTTGTATAGGCAGCTATTTACATTCTATTTATTTAGAATTAAATTGAATGGTATTTCTAGGTACATTATAATACCGAATATATTATTAATATTTTAAGTAGGCACATGTATTCAAATATTCATTGGAATGTAGTTTTCCATTTACATATTTTTCAGGCTGACCTACTAAATATTTTCATATTATTAATACAATTAGATACCTATCTTACAATAATAGTGATGTATTTAATTTAATATTATTTTTGACTTTATAGTTCAGATACATTTTCTTTAGATTTTGATTTTCCAGACCTGAAAAAATAATAAAATATTTTGATTTATTAATATAATTGAGGTTTGTGTTTATTATTTTGCCTATTTAAAATGTAAAACTACAATACGTTTTATTATCATTATACACTATTCCAGTGGAGGCTCGTGGCTTCAAGCCTTCAACGACAGGATGATCGCATCCCATGTGTGAAATTGAAGGAAAGAACAATTTATAATTTTATTTTAAATGTAAACCTTAAATATATAATATATATTTTAAATAAAAAATATAATAACATAACCCAACCTAACCTAACCTAACCTTACAATGCCCATATATCTTTCTACCTTAACCACAATTTTAAATTCGTAGCGGAACGAGATATGTTTTGATTTTACAATAATGTTAATTTTTTTTATTTCTTCCTAATTTCTTCCTAATCACCTCTAAACGGACATCAGCAAGTAGACTGGTGATAAAATGAGAATATTTAGAAAAGTAGCTCCAACAAGCCTTAATATTTGTTATTAAAAACAATTACGAGATCGTTTGAAAATCAAAAATATGAAATAAGGGCAACTAAAATAACTGTAATGTAACTCCTAAGAGCTACTAATTTCTTAATTTATCAAAAAAAAAAAGTTTAGTAATTGTGTAACGATTGCTATAGACGGTAAAATAACTGGAAATATATTATAATTTACAATAATATAACAATTGTTCGTCTTAATTTACATTAAATAATGTAAGTAAACATAATACTTAAATTAAAATATTTGAGTTATTTCGAATTAAATAATGTATATATTGTATTATGCACCAAGTGACACGGTTTAACTCAAACTAACTGTATAAACAATAACCCACATTGACATATTAATTATATTAAGAATAAAATTAGAAAATAAAAATATTTTGGGACGATTGGTGTTCAATGATAAGAAACTCGACTCTACTGATAAATTCTACTCTGGTGCTTTACTTTAGCATGCCCGACTAAGCCGGTGCTATTCTTTTACTTGGGGTGCGTTTAGGCGCTAACAGCACTCACGCTCACATTCGCACTATTAAACCACTCACTTTGCGTTTAAGAGCTATAATCGCATTAAATTACTGTTATAAAGCGAAAGAGTATTTGCATAAGTGAGCGTTAAGTGAAGTTATGTAATTAACAATTAATAATTAACTTTAAATTAATATTTTCAGTTTTGGAATATATTTACCCCACACAACCAAATATAAACAATTCGGTGGCAAACCAGTGACTGGTTAACAATAGACAAAATGTGGGCGGTATTAATTATTAAACCTAATCTTTTTCTGAAAGTGTGCGGTTATGATGACCGCCGGTCGCTAACATATCAAAAGGGCGTATAGCTACTGCCCATGCATCGTCCTCTTCATAATACCATAATTAAAACCTATATTGGATAAGATGGGATAAGAAACGCGACTCTACTTGTCTGAGAAAAATTCGACTACTCTCTTCTGAGTAGTACACAAATATACATAATAATATTATCTATATCCTTTGATAAAAATCATTCTGAAACTACACTTTTTTTCATTATTTATTAATAATTAGTAGAGATATGTACGACGCGCGCCCATGGAATGATTTTAGTTCACCGTCTGGTGCATTTGTATTCTGAAAATAGTATAGAATAAGGAGACAAAACTCCGCTTCTGATAAGTCCCAAAACGAGTCTCATGAGGCTACAAGCTGCGCTGCGTACGCTAGGGTTTTAACCCGCGAAGTATAGCGATTATTTATGTTTTTTGGAAAATGTATATGACCCATCATAAATTGTATAGCTCGTATAATCACGCATTCTCAAATGTGTATATTCATAAATATTTTTTTTATACTAGAATAATCTAGTCTTTATGAATCATTACCATTGCTATATTTAGCACAATATATATGTTAACCTTATGATAATTAAATATGTGTATATGAACATGAAATTCTACACTAAGGTTCCTTGGGGTTATACTCGTATTTAAACATTTTAATTGAAAACCATTCAATAATTCAAATTTGAATTGGGGTTTTTTTTGTCGTATAAATTCACGTATCAGACCACAACTGTGCGGCGGTTGGCGGTGACGTCACTGTCATTGTAGTACTGTGGGAGACTAACGTTTTTTACGTGACTGTGAGGTGACCTTTATAATCTATAAATCTTGCTTTCATCCCGCCACTGAGATAGATAAGAATTTATTATTCTTATCTATCACAATGGTGGTGGTAGAGGTACCGGTATTAGTGACTTGTGATACATGCATTTGTAATCGGATGTTTTTGTACACCGCCTGGTGTGCTCTGCTATTATTTTGAATCTGAATAGAGAGTATTCTGCTATTATCACTTTGTTAAACATATTTCATAATAGTATGAACCTAACTCAAATGTAAGTACCTAGGTACCATTATAGAATATTAGGTAATTTATTTAAAATTTAAATTTTACACTAAATTATTAGCATATTATTTATAGTTAAGAATTAACAGTTTTCTTTAAAAATATTTTCATTTTATTATAATACATACCATCCAGATGTACTTGGCCTTGTTGTATCATCAGTTTCTAAAACACAAATTAATTAAATTTTTGGTTAATTGTTGATGAATTGAGATGTTTACATAATGGCGCATTGATTAAATAGATATTAGTAAATTGTATAGTAATTAATGACTTCAAAAGCAAAAGAATATTTTTCAAATGGGTAATTTGTACGATTTAAAACTTAAATTGTAGTCAAAAAAACTCGTCAATGAGTTTACAAAAATGTATTTAAACTAAAACTTCATATTTTTATAGAATTTTTGTATTGGTTGTTATTTGAAAATCAAAATTAGATTGTCGTATTACTCCGATAAATTAGAGCGACAAACATAAGGGTAATGTAACATTTTAGATTGTATGATTTTCAAACATAAGTATAAGTTATTTTTAAAAAAAAGTAACATAATTTTTTTAAACTGTATAATACCTACCTATTTTATTTAACTTTAATCAGAAATAACTTAATAATAAATAATAGTACAATATTCATAGTCTTTGAACTTGTAATCTCAACATTTATAAACTTATATAGATGTAGGTAGCACTTGTATTATAGTAAAATTATTATTAGAAAGTCATTGTAAGTACACAAATGTTGTGGTTTATAGAATTTTACATCTATGATATTAAGTTTATAATAATAATGAGTTATGAATAAATGAAGTTATTAGTTATCCACAAATTAGATAAAATAATTTGGTCAAAATAAAATTATGGATAGTTAAATTGTATTATTTAGTACTGTAAATATTAACCGGTATTTATTTGATGTTGAAAGCGCCAATCATGCTCGCGAAGATCTATTTCTGTATCGTCGTCCATACTAATGTCACACTTCAACTCCGGTTTTGAGGCAGTCACTTGTAACTCTACTATTTACCACAAAAAAAGCATCTAAATCTAATAAGTATTACTACTAATCACTAATAATAATAGCTATAATAGAGCATCTAATACCTACTTTCCTAAATTATTGAATATTATTATGTTAATATTAATTAGAAAATATTAATTATATGTGTCTATATATTTATTGTAGATATATTCTAAGATATACCTAATAACATTAAACTACAAAATAAGACATTTATAAATTACACTTTAATTTGTTTTAATAATTGAATATTTTGTCTGAACAATTCATAAATTATGTAATAATTGTTATACAAGCATATAGTTTTATTTGCAGTTTTAAAATCAATAAAAAACTATTTACCTTTTTTTACACCAGATGTTGATGGTTCATGAGTCTCTTCTGAAGATCCTAAAAAAATGTTTAATTTTTATTATTTATATGAAGTCAATATTTATAAGATATTTTAATTGTATTAGTGTTTAAAAATACTTTACAAATGATCAATGCAACAAATTGTACAATATTTTATTCAAGGTTTTGTTTATGTAAGCATGCAATGATTATCAAAATAATGGTTTATAAATAAAGAAGAATGGGAATAGTTGAGAAAAATATAATGAATTTATGTTCAGATGAAGATGATCTATATCACATATTTAATGCACATAATACCTGCAATGTGTGTTGATGTTTCCCTACTGATTTCAAATTCAGTAGGTATATCTTTAGATAGTTTTCTTAAACATTCATTCAATTCGTCCTCAGAAACACCTTTTTTTGTTAGCTCTTCATTATCAAATACTATTCTTTTTTGCACAATTTTCGTAATAAACACATTTCCGTGCTCATCTGTACGTTCTGAATGCTCTTGGTAATCGCCAGGTGCAAATTGTTCTATAAACGTGTCAATATTTTTTTCTTTATCAAATCCTCTAGCTGTTACCTTTTGTATTTCAACAGGTAATCTTGTGATTTTGTGAGTAAATTCTGTTCCATCTGGTTCCTTTTTATATGTTTCAAATGTTTCAAGTTCATCAAACCAATCGTGTTTTCCTTCAGTTTTGTCAAGACCTTCCATACTAGATACCATAGTATTTGAACCACCACTAGTGAAGCTAGAAGACATATTTGATCCTGTTTCACAGTGGTAAGTAGCATTAGTTGAAGTTGAGCTAATTGGTCCTAGTGAATCATTGCTACCCAAAATCAAACTGTTTCTATACGAAGACTCTTTTGAATGATCATCCATAATTGGACTACTGAATCCACGGCTTGAAACACTAGAGTTCATACAGTCATCATAATCATTTTGTTTACTTTCAACAAAACCTGTACTTGACATTTGTTCTAAAGAAGCTGATACCTTCATTTCCGTAATAATTGTTTTTAAATCTAATGACTCTGTACTAGTTAAATTATCATCTTCTGATATATGCTTTTCTGAATAATCGTCATTTTGTTCTAAACTTATCTCATATTTGTTGATAGTTTCATTTATTTTAAAGATACTCTCTTCGTCAGTTAGTAATTTTTCAGTAGCTAAAGCTTTGTTCTCAATTAACTCAGTTTTAAAACAAGCTGCTTCGATTGTTTCAAATTCTTTTAGAGACGCTATTGATATATCATCTTTTTTGCTGTTAGAAGAACTAGTGGTAGAAGCTAAAGATCCTGAAGACTTTGCTTTCATTGATTCAATTCTTACTAGTTGTTCTAATCGTTCAAATTCTTGTAATGAGTTAACTGATATATTATCATTTTCTAGTGATTTTCCTAAGTATCTTTTACTTTCTGGAGTGCTGCTAAATGATTCTTTCATACTACCAAGACTATCAATTGACTGACTGACTTGACTACCTATGCTTCCAACTTTACTACTCTGTAAATCATCAGTATCTTCTTCTTTAATATCTTCAAGAGGGGGTCTTTCATATTCTAGATTGTATCCATAAATTTCATTTACAGTATTGTCATCTTCAAATTGTAATTCAACCCATTTTTGATTTCCATACTCTAACTCAAATTGGCCTTTTGATCCTGGACCTTCAGAGTCTGATTTGTGTAAAGAAGATTCAATGTTGTTAGAATTTGTAAATATTTTTTTTGGTTTCCCTTCAATTTGTATTGCTCTACCTTCAGAATCATCTTCTTTAGCTTCTTTTCCTATTTCTTCTATTACTACAAAATCATCTTCAGGGGTTTCAATTTTTTCTTCAACATTATCTACTAATTCGAACGATTCACTTAAAGAAACAGATTCCTTTTCTTCTGTTTCTTCAATCTTTTCAAAGACTGTATGTTCCTCACCAGTCCATGAAGGTTCTTCATGTGGGTCATATTCATCATTCAATATGTATTCCCTACCTTGATCTGTATCTGATGATTCTTTACTGCTTATCGACGCAGGTGTTTGTGGGGTTGATGATTTAATTTCTAATTCTTTAGCTTCCAAATCTAAGTCTGGATAATGAAAACCATGGTCGACTAAAGGGGCCAAATGTTCGGTTATCATAATATTAGGAACGATATCTTTAGAGCTATCTTCGTCTTCTGAAAACGGATCTTCAGGTATTGTAGGTGGTAAAGAAGTTGGTATTGCTGGTGATATATGAGGTACCATTTGAAAGGCTGCGTCTGCTTCAGCAATATCATCAATATGCTCAAAACTATGTTTTTCAGATATTATACTGCCAAGTATTTCATGATCATGTTTACTATGTAGTACAGAACTTTCAGTTTCTGAATTAGGAATATGTATTTCTTTTAATGAAATATTTTCAAAAATTTGTTTAGATGATATGTCTTGTTTTTGTTCCAAATTATGATTTTTAGGTAGATCTGTGGTTAAATTTTCTCTTTGGTCTATGATATCTTCAACTAATATTTTATTAATTGAACTGTTATTTCTTCGGTGGCCTTTTTTTTGTATTTCTTCAGTTTTTGTAGTCATTTGAGTGCATACATTGTGGTGAATACCATTAATTATTGAAGATGATATTATTGTAACATGTTGGTTTTGGTTATCATTATGTTTATCTTCATATTGAATAGTTGATGTTTCAACAGATTTCATATTTTCATCACTCAAACTGAAGCTACATGTTCCTGATTCTGGATATCCATTCATTGCTTCAACTATTGTTTGTATTGCTTGTCCTTCTGTACTTGATATACTCATACTTGCGTCTTCACTTGAAAACAATTTTTCTTCATGGGATGATGAATCTGATAAGCTGTCACTGGTTATATGTTTAGGTATAGGATGGAAAGTCATTTCATGAGATCTTTTCATTTTTTGAATATTCTGATCACTACTAATAGTTGGCTGGGAAAATGGTTGTGTTTTATACATGCTACTGTATTTCATTTCGGTTAATTCTGCTATAATTGGTAAGGATTCTCCTCTAATTATATGCATTGGTATTTCTTCTTCATATGGTTCTATTTTATCTTCATCTTCCAACATAGAGTTTGTACCTTCTTGGTCAAAATCTAAATCTCCAGTTGAAGCAATTAGTGTTTCAGATGCTTCACTATTTTCTACTGAAGCGAGGTTTCCTGAACTTTCTGAATCCAAAGATTTCATTGATTCTCTTGAGCTTAATGAACTAATTGCTGTATGATACTCATTTGACGGTACTGAAATAGCAGATTCATATTCAGATGATCCAGCTAAAAGACCATCGATATCTGAAGAACATGGTCTGCTTGACGATGTTAAGTCAAATGAATGATAATGACTATCACTTGAGCTAGAATCTGCAGGTCTTTTGGTTGTTAGTTTATTGATGTTAATTGTATTAGGTTTTCTTAAGACAACAGTGTCAAAATTCACATGTCTTTCTTCACGAATATCAATTGAAGATGATGATGGAGAAGTTGGTGAATGGATGGAATTATCTTTTGATGGAAATGATTCTGCGCTCAATTGTTTTATTAGTGATTTTGATGAACAAGGATCAAATTCTTTTATTAATGTTACTTCATTTTTATAACTGTCTACTGTTTCTTTTAAACTAGAAGATATTGTTTGGTATTCTTCTTTCTCTATATTACATATCTCTAATCCGTCATCTGTAGTTTGTTCAATGTGTTGCTCTTCTTTTATTGAATTATTGACAACATTTGTAATCAAAGTATCAATATGTTTTTCTTTCGTTGTTATATTTTTGGTTTTTTCATGTTTATTTTGTTGAGTTTCTACTTCAAAGAATTCTTTAGCATGTAATGAATGACTATCTAGTTCTGTAACATGTTCATTATATTGTTTTCCTATTTCGGTTTCTGATATTTCACTAGAATGAAGGACGTCGTGAATGTTGTTCTCATACTTGGAGTTATAATGTAACCCAAATTCTTGTGTTTCCAATTTTTGGTCATTTTTATTAATTACCATTTTGTCATAAAGAGACATTTGAGAATCTAAGAAATTTTTATCAGATATTAAATCATGTTCAGTTTGTCCACTTGGTAGCATATATTTTTGTTGAGATTCGATTCGTTTGTTATTTTCATTTTTTTGTTCTTTTATAGAAGCTTCGATTATTAAATTATCATCTGCAACATTACAATATTCTTCTTTCTCATCGTGTGAAGATTGTTCAAATTCATTAAAATTTGTATTTAAATTACTTATATTTTTTTGAGATTTTTCAGTATCACATTCTAAAATAATATGATCAATTAAAAGTGATTTTGATATTCCATCAAATTCAATTTCAAAACCACTACTTTTTAAGTCTTCATCCGTAATTTCAATGCTTGATGTAATTGTATCATGTTTTGAAATACTTTTCAATTGATCACGAGACTTCTTTGCTAATACTGATTCCATTATTTTTAATTTTAATTCTTCTCCTTCCATATCTAAATATCCACTATTTTCTAGTTGTTTAAACTGATCAGGTGACATCATTAAATGATGTAGATTCTCCAATACATCATTACGTTTTGTTAGTTCAATTTCTATTTCATTAATTAATTGTTCAGCAATACTTTTAGCTAATTCTCCAGTCATTTCTTGTTTTGTATTTGCAAGTGTTTCAAGAGAATCAATTTTCTCGACAATATTTTGGTGGAACAAATATTGATCTTTAAAATCAAAATTCTCCAATTCTTGTTCTTCTGATCTTAGCTGAGTTACTTCCCATATTGTGTCGGGGATGTGTTCTTCTGGAGTATGAATGATATGATTGCCTACAGCTTGTGAACATATTTCATTTCCGTGTTGTAATTCATCATCTATCACCGAAGAATCAATTGATTCAGTATGCAAAATGGATTTTTCTTTTTCTTCAACAAATGAATACGTATCTGAAGGAATTTCATCAATATGATCTTGGGTTAAACTTGATGAATTTTTATCTTTTGATTGTTTTGAAATTACTTTGTTAATCTTTTCTTCTGGTAAATTATCAAGTACAGATGATTCTGCTGATTCTGTTTTTGTAATTGATTTTTCACTGGTACTATAAGAAATTTTATCCGATGATGAATTTTGGAATGCATTTATTGAGACAATTTTTTCAGATTTTAAACCTAAATATTTGTCTTCTGGTATTAATGAATCTATTTGTTCTTCTAGTTCATTTGAAAAAATATGTTTATGAATTTGGCGATTAATAAGGACTTCTTGACTTGGTGATTGTTGATGTGTTGTATTTTTTAATGATTTATGCTCAGGTGATGATTCCTGCTCCATTTGTATACCTTCCATTTGAGGCTTGATTTGTTGAAAATATTTTTTTGAGGGTATTGGTTCAATTTTATGTGATGGTAGTGACATTGATCTAATTTTTATGTTAGATTGTGTTTTATCTGAACACTTAAAATATTCTTTTTCAGTTGAAACTTTGTCATCGAAAACATCTTCTTCTTGAAATCCTTCATTTTCAAAAGCTAACGACTCTTCTCCGTATTTATTAATATATTCAGTTTCTGAATCTAATCTTTTAGTTTCTTTAATTACTTTTATATTTTCTTCTAATAATGGAATTTGGGCTTGTGGTTGTTCACCGATAAATTCCGATTTTAGACAAGTGAACTCAGAAACTACAATATTTTTTGTAGTTTGATTACTTGTCATTGATTCATTAATCATTTCAGGTACTTCTGCATTATCAGAAGCACTGAATGAACTTTTGATGATTTCCAAGGAAGCACTTTTAATGTCAGAATGCTCTGAATTATTTATTGGTAATGAAATACTATATCTTGGTTTAGGTTGAGGTGGTTGATTAGTTTTGGTTATTTCTTCCCAAAATTGTTTTTTTATTGAATAGTTAACATCATCTTCATCTATAGAAGATATAATACTACTGTCAATGGAATGTCTAGGATTCGGTTTAGGTGGGATTTTATCTATGGAGTTCTGAAGTACTAAGTTGTTGGTGTTAGTTGTTAATTCTGGGCTGCGCTCTGTACACAAAAATACATACAAACATAATACAGGATTAGAATATTGGTTATTTATTATTTACAAGGGTTAACTAACAAAAACTCGCCAAAAAGATCAAATTCTTGGATTGTTATATGGATTACATTACATTTTCTAAACTATTTATTTGTAGATTTGAAATGTACAAGTAAACCTATTTTTTTTAGTGCTATAATTATATTTATATTTTGTTATACGTTGATGTATTATTATATTCTGACATAAACAATAATAATAAAAATAAATAATTTGGAACCTAACAAATAATTTGTATCTTAAGTATTTTTTTTTTTTTTAAGTACATATAAAAGTATTTTTAAATTTAGGTTTATTTTACTGTTTATTTGTTATTATTATTATTATTATTAGTATCAAAAGAAGCATTATTATAGTATTTAGCTTCTAAATGTAATTCAATTTACCAGCTCCATCCCAAATTTGATTGGCGACATCAACCTCTTCATTTGATAATTGAGAAATTATTCTATGATATTCTCCTTCAATAGCTTGTTTAGCAATGGGGCTATCTTCTAATGTTTCTGAAGCCATACGTTCAAACCTTCTTTCTACTCTTTTTAAAGTTTTCTCCCCCACATCTGTGTCAATTTCAAATTTCATATCTTCAATATTACTAGTTTTTTTTATGTGTGATGTAGGTATATTACAGTCTTCCAAATCATTTTCATTGTCACTTTGCCCTGGATATACAATTTCATCGTCTTCCGATTCTAATCGGAATGTTACTTTTCTACCGGGTGATTTTTCCTGGGGCTCAGTTACTATGTATACGTTTTCAGTATCAGATTCACTATCATATTTGTGAATTTCTCTGAGTGTTGGTCTTTGATTTGTTGACAATCTTTGTGAACCTCCTACTCCATTTCTACGAAATTTTGGAGAGGATATAATTGGAACAGGAGAAGGGCAATTTGAAAATAATTCTACATCTGGAAACTCTTGGGGATCTGAATCAGAAGATTCAGAAGATAGTTCTCCGGATGCTGCTAATTTAGCTGTTTCTTGTTCAATTAACATATCAATTAAAAAGTTTGTTAAAGTTTCATCGTGGTTACTCGGATCACTTAACACAGTTTTTAATTTTTCTTGTACACTATCTGGAGATATTTTTGAATAATCCACTGATTTCCATTCATCTATGTGTTCATAATCATCAGGTACAGTGTTTTCTGATGGTGTTCTAACCATTAATGGTCTTATTTGATTACAATCATTTTCTGAAAACGATTCTTATTCAAAACAGTTACATATACTATATATCACCTTTCTTAAGTATATTATTTCTTTTTATATATTAATTGGGAATCGAAGGAACAAAGGAAATAGCAGTTAGTAGCATATTGTTATAAAAAAATCAAGTTTCACACTCGAAAACAATACACCTCACCTGTTTTATTATGTGGCAGCCATATACAATAACCAGAATTTTGATTGTTTGAATTTCTTGATATAGTTTTTTTCTTAGGAGTGAAGTAAGAAACTTGAAATGATTCAGTCAATGAGTCTTGTGACCCCGACGAATATTTATGGTGTTCCAATAATGTTAAACAAGGCATCGACCTATTCCACCATCGATATGGTAAACTTGCAGTGTTAAAATTACTACGAAGACTAGGTCCTGAAATTTCTTGAGTTTCATTACTATTAGACATTTTAGACAACTCAAAATCGTCTATTGTTTTCCTAATGTCATGTAATGAATTTCGTATTTGGTTTTCTTGTATATGAACATCATTTAACAATTGGTAAATTTTTTTTTGAAGATGATCCAAATTACTAACACCATCAATTGATTGTTCTGATTCAGTTTTTTCTGTGTGAAATTCATTTGTGATTGAAATATGTTCTTGTCTCTCAACTTTGTCTTCCAAAATTTGCACAGCTTTTACAAGTTTTAATAGCTCCTCTCTACTTCGACTAATTTCTCTATCAATTAAGATGTTGTCAAAATCATTTGACCTGTAGTTGTTGAAAATTTGATTCGGAAAATAATCTATAAGTATGTTATTTTTATTAAAATTATTTGCATACCAAAATAAAACACATTGAGTTAAAAATTAATACATAATGTCTGTAATAACTATTAATTTTAGTGGATAACCTTAAATATTTGAATAATGAAATTTTAATATAAAATTTACAATACATTTTTTGTTAATACAATTATTTATTATATAAATGTCAACTACTTAATCTTATATAGTATTCAAACAACGTATAACAAAACTAGTTAGTGCAAAATGTTAAATTTTTAAAATGTATAAGCATTAATCGTGATTTTTGTTTTCTAAAAAGCCAATAATTTTTGAAATTAAAATTTTACAATGAGCGAAGCAGGAAATTGGCCATTTTTCAGTTCCATTTTCGAAAGAATATATTTTAAATCCTTTTGTAAGTTTATGTTAAAACTATTACATAGTTTTTGAATTATTTTTGAATATCATTATTTATTTAAAAACTTACCAGAATTATTTAAAGACTTTGCATTTTGTGTTTTGGTTTTATTGACTTCATCACCTATAAAATAATTAAAAATAAATAATAATTATAAAAAATTAATAATTATTAAAAGTTGTATAAAATATGTTAATGTTTTGGCTGTAATAAAATTAATATAATTAGTATGTTAAATACTTAAAAAAAAAACACTGTGTTAAATGGTTATAGGATATTGTTAAATTAAATTAAAATGATTTAATATATTGTTATTTTGTGGCTTACAGATTATTTATTTGGCTGTAAGTTTATTCCATCACCAATTTAATAATTTGGTAATAATTTTGTTTGTATTTACCTATTAAAGTTATTTTTCTCTTAAGTGAATAATTAATATTTTGATTTAAATTTAATTTCTTTAAATTATTATCTGAATATGATAATTTGTTGAAATTAAATTTTCTTCTTAATTTTGGACTACCACACATACTTTCAAAAATATTTATTACATCACACACATGTTTTTCAGATTCAAATTTAATTTTCTTATGCTTTGTATAGTTTTCAGGTTCTTTCTGATTAAATATTTTAAATGCTGCTAAACGTGTTATTGGTGAAGGGTATAATCTTTCCATGCTTGTAAATTTATCTTTCAGAGAGTTTACTTTTACCAATGGAATTTTAACCATGGTAATTTGTGTCTGGAATGGCCTGTTTATATATAATTGTACTATATTAATGGGTTGAACAACATTATTTACAGCAATATAGGTAAAATAACTATTTTGAAAGGTTTTCATTGTCCCATATGTAAATAAATCTACTTCGATTTGTCGTTTTGGATCATATAAGCTACTTTTTATTAAATATCCTGGTTCAAATGGCTCTAAAATATTGAGATTGCAATAATTAGATATTTTCCTACCTGTTGTAATTCCATTGTTAAACCATTTTATTGATAAATTTCCATAATCCCTACCAACGTTCAATAAGACAGTGTCATGACTTTCAAAATCAATAGAAATACTAAAATCATTTCTGTTGTCATGTATTACAAATTTATTATTATTTTGTTGATATTTAATTTTGTTAGTTTCATTAATTTTATTTTGTGTAGGAATATCCACTTTATTTAAAGTAGGTTCTGACATATATTTTGATAATGTTTTTTTCTTATTTTCTTCCGGGCATTTGTCAACGTTTTCTTCAATTTCTGAATTACAACGAATTTTATTTCGAAATTTCTTTTTACCACATTCTGTATCAGGTATTACAATTTTTTTTATAGATGGTACACGATTTTTATGTTTTTGTTTATATTTTTCATTTTTAACAATTTCTACAGATTCAATGACGCCAACATCTATATCATGGTAGTACGTATTAATATTTTTTAAATGAGATTCTGTTTTTTCACACTCTTCTGCTGTTATTGTTTCTTCCTCAGATTCATAGCCTTTTACTTCTTCATTAGGAGTTTTAAGCCAAATAGGATTAGGTTCTTCTGTTGGTGACAGTGCTCTTATTGTTCCATCTTTTGAATGAAATAAAATTTCTTGATGAGGTTGTGGAAAATTGGTTAATGATTCAAAAGATTGTTCTATTTGTTCTATTTCATTAAATTTTTCTTTATCATCAGTAAAATTTTCTGTATCTGTGAGTTCTTCTTTAACCTGATATTTCTTTTCGTGTTCTTCATCTTCACTCAAATCTTCGACATCTGTTAGAATTAAATAATCTATAGGACCTGGAGTAAGATTTGGAGCTCGAATATAATATTTTTCATCATCTGAATCAGATATATCTTCAACATCTGTAGTGCTATTAACATCTGACAAACCAGGAGAAAGAGATTTTGTTACATTTTTTGGAATGGGAGATTTCAGTACAATTCTTGATTTATTTCTAGACAAATTTGGAGAAACTGATCGTGGTTCGTGTATTTCAATATTGTTGTACTCGTTTTTTGAATTGAATAAATTTGTTACTTCAGCATCTTCATCATTGGACATATATGCTGTAATTGCAATTTGAGGTACATTAGTTTTGATATCTTCCGACATTCTATTTATCAGTGAATAAATATTTGATCTACTCAAAGCTAGATTCCAATCTACTGATGATTCATCAAAAATGTTTGAATTTATCTGTGGAAATAATGTATTAATTAAATTATGTGGAGAGTTTTAATTTAAATTAAAACTCATATTATAGTCTATAAAGAGAGATGTTAAAGCTTTACCACGCCTTAAAATTATAATTATTTTGAAAATAAGTACTTTTCATATTTCGAGAAACTGTTGATATTAAATTAAATTAATAAGTTATTTGCTATTAATGTTTTATAATTTAGTGAATTAGTAAAAATTACTAAAAACCCTAGATACATAAACAATATTGATTATAAACTATAAATAATAACTCAAATTACGATTTATTTAATTTTTTACTTTAAAAACTAAAAACAAGGTTGATACTTAATTATTTTAATTTATAAGTAATATGTGGCATTATTATTTTATTAACTCATTTTAAATTAGTTGTATATAAATTAATGACTATAATTTTTTATTAATAGTAGGACCTTAATGGACATATGTATAAATTAAAATTAAAATTTTTTTATAACATTAAATTTTTAACTTTATCATGTTATAATGTGAGGTAATGGCTTGTAAATTATAATGCATGTACAATGTAGTTATACTCATTTAAAGTGTATGTAAAACTGTTTTATTATTTACTCGTTTGTATTATTTTATTGATTTAGATCCTCCAAATTGTTAAAGTTAACAAAATTACCTATTATATTATGCTTTGAATAAATGCCGATTTTTAATCATTAGGATTGATGGCTCAAATACCTGAACCTTGGATATACACTTCAAATTTGTTTAAGTATCAATAATGTTTGTACTTTGAACATTTAGCAGACACTAAATGCATATCTTAAATTCTACTTGTATAAATATTTTATATTAAAATTAAATTAGTATAAAAAATATATATATTTAAAATTTACATAAAATTATGTATATCATCATATTATTCATTAATATGTATACAAAACTAACATAAATTACTGAAACGAATAAATACAATAAGATGTTGATTTATTAATGATATTTAGAGATTTAAAATTAACATTAAAAAAAATTCATTCATGTAATATCTGTGTGAAAATAAAGGACATGCAATTTTAAATATGTTAATTGTAGATACCTGTTTATTTTTCTAACCATGATATATATTTATATAAACTATATTGAGAGAAATGACTTCTAAAATTTAAAAGTATAATTAATAATATGATATTAATTGTGGATTCTAAGTATTATAATAAGTACAAGCAGGTAAGATACCTACTTAATAAATAAATGTGAAATAAATAATCATGATATATTCTTTATGAATATTTTTTTAAGGATCAAATTAATTATATTTATACAAATTATATACTATAAATATTTGATAGTATAATAATTTGAATTGCAAAATGTATTTATTTGTTGGTATATTTTGAAAAAATGTCTGTATGTACCTCGGAATCTCGGTTGATGTCTGAGTTCGAAGAATGAGTTGTTTCCTCGTCTTCTAATGATACTGATTCAGTTATAGAAGTAGGCTGTTGTTCGGACATTGATGAACAAGAAGAACGTTTTGGTTGTTCATAAACTAATTCTACAGATGAAGTGTGATCAGAGGAACTCGAAAAGACTTCTGATGTAATTAAAACTGAACTAATTTTTTTATCAGCCTTAAGGCATCTGTGAGCCGGACTTGCTGGTAATGATGTAGGACTTAGTTTCCTAGGTGATGACATAAAATCAAAACCACTTTTTTGTGGTGGTGCACTTAAAACTCTGGGGTCAGAAACAGAGGATGAACGTGATGATTTCGTGTTCAAGGGAGATAAATTTTTTTTTATTATTGTTTTACTCGAATTATCTTTAATAGGTATTCTTGATGGAGATGTAGGGGTTTTTTTTTTGTTTTCATGTGCTATACGTTGATATTTCATTGAAGTTTCTGTCAATTTATTGTAAGAATGAAGTGTTTTTTCTAATTTTCTATCTCGAGATTCAGTAGATGCCATATAACTTTTTATTTTTGGTTTCGAAATGGTTTCAGGAATTTCGGAGGTATGGATTTTTTTTAATTTTTCATTAATTGTTGTTTTATGATATTTTTCAAGTTCTGGTTTCGTTAACTTCCTGTTGGTTGTTTGACTTGATACTAATAACTTATTTTTAGTTGAATTCTTGTTATATGATTCAAGGGTATATCTATTATATCTATTTGTTGTAGAAATATTACTCAAAGTAGTTTTTGAATTTGATGATTTAAAACCTAAAGTTTGTTCAATAGTTTCAAGGTTTTTCGTTTTTGTAGAGGTTGGTTTTATTGATTGGTTAGACATTTTAGTTGGGGTTGCAACTTTTATAGTTAGTTTTGGCGTTAAGGGTTGATTGCTTTTAATTTCAGTATTCAATCCATACTGAATACTCGATTTTTTTGCTATAGATTGGTTAATTAATTGATTTTTAGCGACCATAGATGAAGATTTACATTCCCGGTTATCACTGCTTTCGAATTTAGACATTGAAGACGGTATTGTATTTTTTATTATTTTTTTAGGCGAGATAAGTGTTTTTAAATCTTTTAATTCAATATCAGCTTTTGACTTCAACATATTTGAAGAACTTGTTAAATTGGATTTAGAATCAAGACTTTTAGTTTGATGAGAAATGGTGACATTTTGTATCGATGTTTTTGAGGAACGTACAATTTTTGTGCTCTCAGATCTTGTGATATTAGATTTATTAGATAAATTTAATTTTGATACTGTAGATGAATTAGTTCGTAGTGAAGAACTGCGTGTTACCCCAGTAAATTCAAGTTTGGTAGACTCTACAGGTTTAAATTCTTTTCTTAAGTATTCATTTTTAGAAATGCCTAAATTTTTACTTTTTATAGAAGATGTCTGGCTAGATTTTATTTCTGTTTTTCGCATGCCGAATGACTTACTAATTGGACAAAGTTTTTTAGGATCAGATTCAGTTTTATCAATTTTGTTTGGAGTATCAATATTTTTTAAACTGTGATCCATAAAAACCGGATTACAAGTTTTATTTAAACTCTGAGAATTATCAATATATGCATCATGTTCTATACATTTATTCGAAGAAAATGAAATATTACCCAAATTTTGAAACTCGTTCAAACTTTGATCAAATTCAAAGCAATTTGAGGAAATGCTTGATGCATTCATAAATTTATTTAAACTCTCGCTTAATTCCATACATGAATTATCTTTACACATATCTTTAACATTTACAATATTAATATCGCTAATAGCTTTTTGTGTTATATTAGAATCAACTGAAAGGAAACAATTCCCATCCGAAAGGCTATTAGGCAAACAAATATCATCAACATCAACAGGATTAACAGGGTTATCATTGTTTGGATCAAGATATTGAAAATTAGAAACAGTGCTTAGAAATTGATTATTAAGATCATTACACTTAAACTTTGTATTAAAATTGGCGAGATGAGATTCTTGACAAACAAAGTCCACCACATCTCCATTATCACATTTAAAATGGTCAGAAAGTTCAGTTTCATTTGTGGAAGTCTTAAATGTTAATTTTTGAGTTTCTAACGTCGTCGGTGTTCCCCCAATTAAATCACAATCGGTAACATGGGTTTCGGTTATTTTAGTTACAATAGTTGTTGTTTCTGCGGATTTTGTTACTTCTGCAAGAGATTTATCAGTTTCTTTTTCGAGTTCGATAATTTTATCCACGTCTCCCATTTTACCTCGGGAAAGTTCGTGTATTTTTGATTCTTTAAAGGGATCTTTATCCCTAGGACTAGGGGTTTCGTCTGTTGGTTTTTGAATTTCTA